CCCTGCTAGGTTAAAATGAGATCCAAGGACTTGGGGACAGGTACACCTTGCTGGGGACATCAACAAGCCAGGGCCCAATGCTCCAGCAAGACCTCAGATGCAGGCTCCTGGGAGGCTGGTGCGGCCTGTTTTGCACACGTGTGGATGGCGAGGTCGAGATTGCCCTAAAGGCAGTTGCTTATAATGGAGGGGGTTTAACCTGCAACAGCTTCAGAGTTGCAAGGGGGAGCAATCCGACTGGCAGTGCCACTGAAGAAAGAGCCGCTGGGTGTTTCTCCAGCAAACAGGGCACAGAGCGAGCACAGCAAGCACACGCGCAGCCATCTCCCGGGGACCTGGGGTCGCTGCATGCCCGGGCACTGAACCGTCTGAAGCTGGAAGAAGTCACCAGCTCTCCACATGGTCAGCGTCCCAGTGTCTTCCATGTTCCAACCCTGCCTCACGAAGCAAATTAAAATGCTTCTGAGACAGCCTCCAGTTCTCCGACACTGGCCGTGGCTAGGGCTGGGCAGGGTGCCCTTGGTCTTTCTGCAGGGAGGGTTTGCCCAGGGCATAAACAAAGCTCACCTGCTCCAGAGGGCGGCCCCTCCCAGGGCTCCCATCTCTAGAAACCAGGACTGTTAGAAAGGCAGCTGGCTTGGCCTTGGGGTCATGGGTGTCACTGCTGGGGTGGTGTGTCCTGGAAGACTCGCAAGGTGCCGTCCACCAGGGTGGGCCAGCAGATGGGGCGGCCTGCCGATGTGAGACCACCCCGGAGAGGGGAGGTACGCTCAGGGTCTCGAGGTAATCTGGGGCCACTCTCAGATGCCGAGCTTGGAGCCCCGGCACGGACCTCGGGCAGCACATGGAACCAATTACCAGGGCCAGCATGGAAACATGAGTCTGCGAGCAGCTGTGTCAGGACCTCCTGCAGGGCCACCACGGCTGGGCAGGAAGTATTCCAAGCACAGAAAGGGCGAGGTCACTGTCATCCCAGACTCTCTCCTCTCCCCAGCCCCTTGCCCAGACCACCTCAGCCTGTCTTCTCCCTGAGGCACAAGTCTTCAGTCTTAGCTTATCTTTTGGAGATAGGTGAATTTTCGTGTTCCACCCAGTAATCAAAAGAATCAGGCCCGCTGGAATGGTGAGTGAAACCCAATCACAGCCCTCTCGGTGCCCGGGAGTGGCGCTTCTTGGCGGTGGCCGGTGCCCTGGGCTAGGCTGGGCCCTCCTGCTCCATGGCCGAGGCAGCAGTGCCCTCAGGCTCGGGCTCAGGTTCCGGGTCAGCAGGCAGGATGCTGGTGACGGTGTGCAGCAGGGCCTCGATCTGCTCCTCCGTGAGCCGCTCCTCGCTCTCCTCCACTATCTGGGGGCGACATGGACACCAGGGGCTCGGCAGCCGCACAGCCCGGCCCTGCCCCCGGCCACTTGGCCAGCTCATACCCCACCCCAGGGTGAGCTAATACGCCTGACTGCTCCGAGAGGGTCAGTCTCAAAAGCCACTGCACAGAGATCCCATTCTTAGACAAAACCCAAACTCTGGCATCGAGCGGATGTCAACTCATAGTGACCTTACAGGGCAGGGTAGAGCTGCCCCTGTGGGTCTTCTCGACAGTCACTCTCCAGGAGGTGACAGCCCTGCCTTTCTCCCCAGTCTTACATGGAGAGGCAGGAAACCCTCCACATTGTGCATGCCTATGGCAGCGCCTGTATGTGAGACGGCCCTCCACATGCGGGGACCCCGGGGCAAGCATGGGTGATGGCAAGAGCAGCATCAACTCTTCTGGGGCAGGGGACCACGATGTACCACATGGTGTAATCCTCCCCATCCTCACTGCCCGCCCCCACAACCCATCACAGCCCCCCCAGTCCTGTCCAACAGGAGGAGCCCATCACTTCCTCTCTTGGATGCTGATCAGGGGTGAGCTGGGGAGCGTTTGGCTCTATGCTGAGGGGCCTTCCCTTTCCAGGAAACTGAAGAGAGGGGAGTGAGGGCGGGATCCGGCCGCCTCCCAGCCTCCCCATCTGCGTGTCAACCGGGCCTTGGTGTCCATCTGCCAGGTGTGCGCCTGGCAACAGGGCTGAGAGCTTGGGCCTGGGCCAACCCACTGCCAGAGACGTGTTATCAGCACTTAACTCCCAGGGTTAATTATGGCCAGAAACCCTTCTCTTCTCCGAGCTCCAGCTGCAGGGTGAGAACCTCCATGCAATAACGACACCCTTGGAGGCTCCTCCCACCTTGTCCCCAGCCCATGGAGGGTGGGGGGAGGGGAGAAGGAACCAATTCAATCACACGCTCCTTGTGGGATGAGAACCACACCCGTGCAGGGCCACAAGAGACCAAGCCTGACTGTTCTGTGTGTCAGAAGGACAGGGTAGTGTGACCTGTTCAGAGGGAGCTGTCCCGTGGCCAGAGGAGGATACCGCAGGGCAGGGCAGTCCCCAGCCTCCATCACTCAACCATTCCCAGCAGTCAGCACTTGGTCATCTGTGCCTGTCAGCTGGGGTGGACTGGCCCGGCAAGCATCTCCCATCTGCGTCCTCGCCAACGGGGTCTGCTAGGGTCCCGTTTTAGGCCTGGGAAGAAGAAATGGCTGCCCGATGAACGCTGGAAGATTCTCGTCCTTTCTCTTAGTCCTCTTCTGGTGAGAGTGGATAGTGCTACCCAAGACCAGATCCACTGCCATTGAGCTCACTGGCTCGCAACAAGTCTGCCAGAGAGGACAGCCTCGTCTCTGTCCCTCAGAGCAGGTGGGAGCGTGAACAGCTTCCCTTGTAGCTAGCAGTCTGACGATCAGCACATTGCACCACCAGGGCTCCATGGGGCACACATCTCTGAGAGC